TTAGCTCAGTGGTTCTGCTGCCTGCCTCATAAGCACAAGGTTCCAAAAAATAAAGTACAGAAAAATCCTCTCTTCTTCCATAAAAAGATGGGTTCTTGAATCAGGGTCATAATCCAAACAAGTTTGAGTAAAAGCATAATGATAAATACAAGCATTATTCCACACTGACATGTTAAATGCAAGTCATTAATAAAACTGTGCTTTAAGGGCAATGTAAATGAAATGATTTTTCCAACTAATACACGCATCAAGTCAAAATTATAATTACTGTATAGTGACCATGCATCTGATTACACTGATAATTAAGTTGCTGAGTGATAGAGTCAAGCTGTCCTGCTCTAACATTCTGGATCCAAAAAAGAAAGCTCTGTGAAATCAACAAAAACCATCATACTATCTTCAAACTCTTAAATATTGAATTTTCAGTAAATTATTAAGATACTTCTATGTGAAATGGTTGGAGCTTTATCAATGGCAGCTGAAATTTTACTGGCCTGATTTATAAGTTTTCCAAAAAGTGTTTTTCATCTCAGTAAATACATGTTTTACAACAATCACAAACACAAATTTGAACTATTATATTAGATTCCTATAAAAACTGTAATTTGAAGTCCTAGTAAATACTTTATGTTTTAAGCTGTACAGCATATTGCTCCTTCATAAATGCTTTTTACTTTGCTTTATCAAATCCTGAAAAAAGGTTCTGAAAGTTATTTCATTTTTTGGAAATGACTCATGTTTATATTTTTATTGAAATAATCAAGCTGTTTCTCACTCTAGAAATATACATTGTTATAGGTTTGTATCCTTCATGGTATAAAAAGATATTCTGGACTGTAGTTTAATACTATTATTTCTTCTCTCAAAGATTTGAAATACTCACAGTTATATCTAAAAAAAAGATAAGTCTTATCCAAACACTGTGGCCCCTTTTTAAAATAATTCATAAAACTAATTAAAATTTATAGTAATTTACCTTATTAAATTAATTGTTGAACTTAAAAATATCAACACCATACACTACTGACCCAAGAATTATAGTGCAATAACTGAGAGAGAAACACAAATAAGAACCATACGAAGCTCCACTATTTCAAAGTAGCAGCGATCACAAAGTCGGGAATCCTGATAAGCTGCTGACCCCCAGAGCCCAGGAAGCTCCGCCCTCCTCCTCCTCCGAGCTGCACAGGGGCACCATTCCCCCCAGAGCACTGGGAAGACGGTGAGTGTTCCCAGGACCGAGGCCATACAGAACAGGGAGCCTTTCTGCTCCTCCACCACTCTGTGACACGGGCAGGAGGCGGGTGCCATGCTGCGCAGACAGACCTTGCAACCCCCAAACAGCGAGCTGAGTAAACCTCTGGGCTTTACAAAGCACCCAGGCTTGGAGATTTTGTTAGGGCAACACAGAGAGGGCTGAGGCCGGCTGAGGAGCCGCCTGGGACACAGGAAGCGTGTGAAACAGGCCCGATCCCCTTCTACACTCTTACTTACAGCCACTGATACTTACCATCCTGACTTTGGCTAACTGGAACAATGTGACTCGCAATTACTTTTTGAAAGTAAAAATATCCAAAAAAGGCGATTTTTCAACAGAGCATAATCTAAGAAGGGAAAGCCATGATGAAGAATTTTCCACAGCGAAGTTGCTAAATTTAAGCCACACACCAGCCAAGTCTGTATTCCCCTGCGGGGAGGCTCAGGCTCCATCAGCACCAGGACCCCACTGTCAGGCCACTCACTGGTGCAGCAACAGCAGGACAATTGCCACACCCTAAAAGCCCAAATGAGCACACATATATTAATCACAACACTCCCGTGTTCCCCCTTAGAAAAAGCCCCAAACCCTCCAGCCAGGCCGGGAGGGCCAGCCTTTCTCCCCTCAGCACATTTCACACATGGCATGTGGATTCTCCCGTCTCCCACTACATTCTGCATGCCCTCTCCACATGCACAGTGACATATGTGCTCGCTCGAGCCTCCCCGTCTGCCTCCATGCTGGGTGATCAGCTGCAGGCTGCCGTGCTCACTGAAGTCTCACCAACACCTGGTGTGATGCCTGGCCATGGAAGGTGATGGATAAATATTAGTTGAATAAATGAATGGGTGAATAAATTACCAGGCCCTATGTCTGTGTATCAGACCTGCCAAAAGTAAAGTAGGACTTTCAACTTTTTAAAAAGCACATTATACAATCAGAAAAATACTTGTATTATTCTAAGAGCAAATACGTACACAAATAAAAATTATACAAATAGCGATCACGTGACAGTAGCACAAGCTCACCACCTTCATCTGCCTAAGCGTAGATACTGGCAAGCGTGGAGACTCCCAGGTCTTCTTTCCCTGGTGCTACTACCTCCAGCGAAGGGGTGCCCTTGTTCTGACCCTGCATCGCAGGGTACAGGGAAGAAACATTCCAACCAAAAGGGACAGTGCTCAAATTCTCACCCCCCTCCCCAGGACTCACTTTTACAGCTCCAATCAAACAGGCATGTGTGCAATCAGTCTGTTAAATACATAAGGGGCTCATTCATAACTGAATGGGATTCCAAAGCAGAAGGGGCAACAGGGCCAACCTATCGGGAGGAGTGGCAGGGCAAAGCTGGCTACAGAAATGAGCTTGCAAGGGAGGGATCTGAGACTTAAGGCTCTAGGTCCATGTAGGGCAGAAGAGGTAGCTCTATCAGCTATTCACTGTCGAAACTGCTATTTCACACTTCATAGGCGCTTCAGGCAGACGTAGAAAGGTAAGTAAAGTCAGAACAGCACTGGTTGGCGGCCAGCCCACAGTGAATACGGCTGCTCTACTCATCTTCCTTGGCCAGGGCTGGGAGACCCTGGCTCTGCCTATCAGATTCTCTCTCCCGAAAACTCAGAACCTTTAGGAGAGATGGAAGGGGCTGGGGTCAAGTCACTTCAGGATAACTTTGAAGGAACAGGTACATTATGGCCTGCTAATACCCCAGCTCTCTCCTCTCAAGAAGCCTGGGTACTCAACCTTTCCCTACCACAACCCTATCCTGCGATAATTTTCCCAGTTTTGTTTCTTTAAGCCAGAATTTCTGTTCCTTAGAATATTATCATCTGAGTCAGCATGGCTCTTGCCTGTAGCCCATTTGCTTAGTTCACAAAGGACTAACAGGAGGCCCTGGGGATATATTTGTCCCAGATTTTTATAAAAGAAAGGGGTCAGGACCAAAGCCCAATTTCTCCTACTCTTAGTACTACGGGCAATATGCTTAAGTAGACAGACAGCTATCACAAAAGCTGAGTAATCTAAACAACTTGCGGTAAAATCTAGATATAAAGGCGAAACAGGAAAAGGATACAATGGGAGGCCTGGGACATGGAGAAGGAACAGGGAAGAACTGCTGATCCCCAAAGGAGCGAAGTTTTATATTCCATTACAAAATGATGTCTGAGTAATTACACCAGATTCCTGTAAATTTTAAGTGTCAGCCATCCTATGATTTTAAAAAAGTAAATAGAAAGATACAGACCCAAAGAAAGAAAAGGAAGATAAACATCAATCAAGAGACAAAACTGTAATGACTATGTCTAAATATCTTCATAATTTTGGTGGTCACAGCATGCTTCTAAAACATCTCATGATTTTCTTCTTCACCAAACATTTTTGGACTATAAAATGCTTCTCCTGTTTCCTAAAGCTTCCGAGATTTTGTTGCTATTTTACATTCTTAGCACTTTTATATAGCTGGGTTTCCTTTTTAAAAATGTTCTTTCCACTCTATAAATTTGTTTATTTTTGTTTTCTAGCCAAAGCTTGTCCAAACAGTATTAACTGTTTTCCCATTTCCCTGGTACTTTCTTACCTACTCATGCCATCAACGCCACAGGCTGATCTTAACCCAACACGGACACTGTCTTTCCCTGACCCCGCTGTGGAGTAACAGGGACTTCACAGAGGGGCCTGCCCACGAACCCAGTGCGTGAGTACCACACTGCCTCCAGAGCCGCTGTTCTCCCTAAAGCCAGGCTTCCAGTAGAGAAGGAAATCAAGGCTGACTATTCCAGATTGCCTGAATCCTGGTGCAAAACATCTACAACCTGCCTCGCGTGAAATACTGCAGACATATTATTTTATAGAAAAATTATTTCATAGAAAAAGGGAACTTTATTACACATCAAAGAATTGATTTGATTGAAAGAAAAACTGCCTTAAGTGTAGTACGTAAACTATATTGATCAGAATAGAAACTCCGATCTTCCCCACACTTATATATTGGAAAGAAATAAAATAATCCTTTTTTTTAAAAAGTTAGTATTTTATTCACTTTAAGCATATGAAAATTAACAGGTATAGTGGACTTCTTAATCAGTTAGCTCTATTTGCTTTTCATCTTTCTAATTATCACATATATTTGATTCCATGAATATGTAGGTGAGGGGCCGGGGATTTAGCTCAGTGGTTTCGCCACCTGCTGCGCAAGCGCAAAGACCCGAGTTCAATCCCCGGTACCAAAAAAAACCCATCAAAAACGATGAATAGGTAGGTTATATGAAAATACCTATTGAACAGGATTAATAGAAAGAAATAACAAATCTTTGTGAAGTTTATATCAAGATGTAACATACAACCTCTTTAGGATAAAGAACAACATGTATCTTTCATTGTAACTACTGCACCTTGAAATTTGCTAATTGCTTTGTATCCGAATACATTGGATCTTAACAGGAGAGATGTTAGCCCACCCCTTCCTGGAGATGGGCTACAGTATCTGAGACATTTTTGGATGTTAATCACCATTGGGAGAAGAGAGAGGGGAGGGTTGCTGGCATCCAGTGGGGCCAGGCCAGGGGTGCTGCTGAACACGTCACTATGTATAACAGAGCCCCGCACAACAAGCATTCAGCCTGGGTTGCTTAAAAAGCTCTATCAACATGAAAATGAGACGGGAGCAAAGAGAGCAGCTGACCAGGAGTGACTGTGAGCTGCTGTTAGCCACGGCCCTCCCAACCTGGCCAGACCCACCTACCTTCGACGCCTGGGGTGTAGATATCACATGGACTGTGCTGGGCTTGACACCATTTGCCTTGGGACGCTTATAGAGAGCAAACCGGCTTTTCCTCCGTCCTCTGTCTCCATTAGGTAAAGCACCATTGTACCTAAAAAAAAAGAGATAAAGGAGCACATTTATTTGCATATTTTTAAAGTTTTAAGCATGAAAATTCGATGGAATAGAGAAAGAAAAGAATGATCCTAAAGATCTGCTCACTAAACAGACCACTAAAGGAAAAGGTTGTAAAGCAGACTTCAGCTGTAATGAAATTCAAATCACTTCCAGAAACTTAATTTAATAGTGATGTACAAGTAATTATAGGTTTCCGATTCTATAAAGTCAGATTCCTCAAATCTTTTTAGAAAGAGACAGAGCATAAACAAGCAAATGAGTATTCTGCAGAGGCCATGTTAGCTCTGGTTCAATTCAGCCTGTGCCATTCTATTGGACCTCAGAGAAACACTTGAGAAATATTTTAAATGAATGAGTTAGAAAACGGCATACTAATTCAACTTCATCTTTCACTCTCAAATCATGTTAATGTCATGCATAAGATCTTTATTTGTAAGAAGACCAAATTTAATTACTTGCATTCTTAAAGGTTCTGAATTCTCTATATCCATTCTCATTTCTGTCTGAAGCCTACAGTGCTAGGTTAACAAAAAATAGCTTGCACAAATTATACATGAGTTTTCATCCACAAACTGTCTGAAAAAAAAACCTTTAAAAGTCACCAGGAAAATGTAAATGTCTTCAAGCTGATTTCTTGTAGTTAGCTAATACAAGAGTTTAAAAGGAATTCAGGATTGCAGCTAGCAGTTCAATTTTCAACTCCATATACTAATTCTGTGTTAACCTGTCCCTGAATGTTCTGACCCTTGTCTCGACATGACTATTCTCTTCCTACACCCTGGCAGAAGCTCCTTTCAAAAAAATAACTAAAAGGGAAAGGAATCATTTAAAATTTATACGGACAACTATGGCTGCCCTGAGGCCCCCTCAGAACTCCCAAGTTGGGCTGCAGGTCTGGAGGCTTGTTCCCGTGCTGAGGATCTTGTCCAACTCACTTGGGCCTACTCCAATTTTCTAGCTCCACAGGACAGAGAAGTATGGTCATCAGGGTAGGGAAGCTGAGATGTGTGGCCTGCTGGGAGCTACAGAAACACGAACCCAGGGACAGAGTCTGGAACTGCTGTCTGACAAGGGTTTCACATTAACACCAGAAGTTATTCCCACTGTGTTTGTAATCTATTGTTATCACAAAGGAATGTCACCTATATAAAAATGTCTCTAGAATAAAGAGATAATTTATTTCAAGTCTAATTTTTTCTTAAGCAAGATCAGAAAAGTATACATTATTTTCTTAAATGAATTTATGACCACTACTGTCAAGTATCCATGAGTAAACAACCATCATAAACCCACTTTGTTTCGAGATATTTCACACCACTTGGCTCAAGACCAATATTCTAATATTAAGAGAAATATATGTAAACTAATTAAAGCCAAGATGGTACACAACGTGCAGCACACTTTCATTTTCATGATGATGAGCAGAGATGATGACTCCAGGATATGCTGAGGTTTGCTGTGCCCCTCACCGTGAGGGGCACACCCTCTCTCAGCCCCACACTTCTAGTTATGGGGACCTGGTCTGGGGAGAATGCAGGAGTACAGGCCAGCAGCTCACCACAGCACCCCTTCTCTTGAGTCTGTCCTTTAACTCCCAGGACAAACCCGCCACTGTAGCCTCTCTGCCACCCTGGAGCTGACCTGAGGGAGGTGGACACACAGCCATGCTAGTCGAGGACGGCCTCATCCTAGTTCGTACAAAATGGACGAGACACGACCACCTAGTCTCCGTGGGTGGCTACAGCTACAAATGTAAACACTCAAGCTGTGGCGATGTCCCAGTCTGTGACTAAAGAAGCAGAGAAAGTGAAGAATGAAGCAGATGAACACGACAAGCAGCAAAAAGGCACAGACAGGATCCGTAGGGGTTTCCTACACCTTGTTAGTGAAATTCTTTTTAGTTTCAGCTCAATCAGGCTGGTTTCTGCTATTTACAATCCCAAAGCCTCCAACACAGTGGGGGCGAGGGAGTAAGAAATGTCAACTTTAGCACACGCAGAAATGTTTCACTTGAAATTGTTTTGCACAGATGTATAAATATTGCAGGTTAAGGCTGCAGACAGGCAGCTCTGCGGACGCCCTACCGAGGTCACGAGTCACACGGAACATGCCAGGTCGGCCCACTGCAGACAGGCAGGTCTGCGGACGCTCAACTGAGGTCACGAGTCCCAGGGAACACGGCCCGGCAGCAACACACTGGACACCTCCCCCCTGCTCCTCTGTACAGCCACCTGGTTCCACACTACAAATACGCAGAGGACACTAGATGACCAGACCACGGTACTGTGTCCCGCCACTCCCGGCCCAGAGGTAGGGGCTCCTGAGCCGCCATCCTACTGCTCCTGGTCTAGAGGAAGAGGCTTCCCGGCCACCATCCCTCCCATTGCTCCCAGCCCAGAGGAAGGGGCTTCTGGGCCACCATCACTACTGCCGTTCCCGGCCCCTGTCCCACCTCTCCCAGGTCAGAGGAGGTGATCCTCACGGGCGCCAACAGCACCCCCGACCCCCCCAATCGAAATGAGAAAACACATAAACAAGCCTCAAAACCAGACTTCCTACAGCAACCCCAAAGGGAAATGAGATGGAACACTCTGATACTCAGCCACCTGGATCCACTGAACTGGCAACAAAAGGGGATCTGGAAAAAATGAAATCAGAAATAATTTCTCAGCTAACAGGAGATATTGTGCTCCTAGTGCAAGACATGATTAATAAATCTAGAGAGGAGCTGAGGAACGTGATGGAATC